GTATTTGAATGCCTAATGCCCTAAAGCTGTCTGGTTTGGGAGTCATTGACCTAACACTCGACCTCATGAATCCCTAGAAAGCTTAATAGATCAACACATTGCACTATACTTCCATCTTTGATCCTCAATAAATAAAAAATAAATAAAAATGAATGAGTGAAAAGAATAAGCGCACCTAGATGAATAAAGCTTTAATAAAAGGTCCACTTTTTGTCTTGATGATCGGTACTAGATTTGTATGCTAGTTTGAGGGTAAGGATGTGATTAATTCTTTAGTTGGCTTAGATAGCAACACATTTGATGCCGGTCCACTCAAAAGGATTCTAGAGTTGTTTTGATTTGCATGATCATTTTCCTGATGTGTGGAAGACCATACTTGCTTGCTTAATGTTGAAATTTTGGGAGATTGCTTAGAAAGGGCTGAAAAATTGCATACTTGAGGTAGTTTTCTCCCGATGCTTGTTTGCAATATTGGTACCTCTTTTGAAAGAATGAGCTTAATGTTTGTGGGTACCATTTCTGGAAACCCTCACGAGACTTCACTCGTCTACTACGGGTAACCTAGGGGTTTAAAAGGCTTGTTGCATATGCTAAATGCAATCGTGGTCCCTACGAAAGTGGCGGAACGAAGCTGTTTGTGACAGTCATTCCAGTCTGCATAGATGCCGGGATATCCATTTATTGTTTTCTAGATTCATACTTGTGTAGTTGTTTATTTCATTCCTTTTCTTTCTAGTTCATTGTTAGGGACTAACAATATTTCAGTTTAGGGGTGTGATGAGCACTGAAAAGTGCGTATTTAAACCCCTTAAACTTAGACATTCTAGTACCTTTATCTATCTTACTTTACCGTTTTAGATTGATTTCGTATTATTTCCATTTTCAAGCACTTATCCCAAAAATAAGCTAACTCGGCCAAATAAGAACTTAATTGAAGCAATTTTGGGATTAATCAAAGAAAAAAGCAAAGTGGAGAAAGAAGGAAGCAAATGAAGCCAAAGGTGGCAAATAGCAAAGTTCGATCGATCTAAGTTCAAGGTTCGATCGATCGAACAATGATCGATCTCAGCACTTCAAGATAGATCCAAGCCTTAACCCAAAAGCATAAAGTTTCAAAAGTTCGATCAATCCAACACCATCCTTCGATCGATCGAACACTTTTGTCCTTATTCAAATGATTGATCCTATCCACAGCTGTACCACCCACTAACCACTTTTATCCTTTTCCCATAAATATCTCCCATAAATATCTCGGATTTATCTTTTTCCAAAAAACTCAGCCAGTTGGATCGATCCAGCCTAAGTTCGATCGATCTCACTTACTTTCAATCGATCGAACTTCCTCCAGTGCGAAAAAGTTAAAATTCCATCTCATTGAAAGTTGTCATTTATCTAATCATTAGGGAATATTGTGTGCACGATCCCAGCTCATTTTAGGTGTCATTTTGACCAACCTATATAAGGATAAGGATTGCTTTTTCAAGAGAGAGCCAACATTATTTTCATATCATCTCTTAGAGAGGAAGTTTGGAGGAGGAGGAGGCTAGAGACACCATTGGAGACTTTTCATCAACAAGGAGCAGATTTCAACCATGAAGTTAGCCCTTGAGGGTTGGAGTATCATCACCATTAGTGGCTAAACATCTTCTTGGGGCTAGAGTTAGCCCCAAGCATGCTTTCTATATCTTAATCTTGTATATTGTTGAGGGATTAGTATTGTAATTGATGTTTTGACACTTTGATATATATATATATATATATATATATATATATATATATATATATCTTGTTTATTCAATGATTTATGTGGTTTAATGCTTCCAATTAGTCATTTCATTCTATCTATATGTCTATGTATGCTAGAATAGATGTTCATGTGCTTATCTCTAGATTTTGTGTTATTGATGCATGTCTATGTGTATTGATGCTATAGATTTAGAGATTGTCAAAACATTGTGCTTAAAAGAATGCTTTTGTGATTTTCTTGATTGTTCATACTTATCTCTTGATGGATTGTGCCTCTCCCCTAGTTTATTTTCATGCTAGTAGTGTAGATATAGTGTAGTTGTAGTGTAATGATAAATGGGAGGACAATCTATGCTTGTTGTTTGATGATCCAAGCTTTTGAATACAATGAGCATATGTCTCTCTCCTTGTGTTGTATTTGAATTGTGAGCTTAATGAAAGGATTAATGACTTGTTTTGATATATTGTGTCTTTCACATGATGTTTAGACAATACATGCTTAACTAATCATCCTTACTTGTTGAATCAACCAAATACACACACACCAATATTGCAACCCACTATTTGCCCTCATTAATCACTTGTCAATGATATAGAAATGCATTGCTTGGTGGTGATCTCTAAACCCCAAGATTTCTCTCTCTCTCTTACTTACTCTTAATTACACTCTTTTGCTATTACTTAGTTTAATTTAGTTGCTCTTTAATCAACCAACCAACCAATTGTTTGATCACTCGACCTACTAGCCCTAATTGTGATTCCACGACATTGCTCGATCCTCACAGTCCCTTGGGACGATCCCTACTCACTCTTGCTACGTTAGTAGTAGTGTTGGTAGTGGTTTTTATAAATTTAAATTTGACCCAAAAGGCTTTTCTTGAACCGCACATTCACTACATCAAATTTTGGCGTTCACAAACGGCATTAACTCGTCAAGGGATGAGCTTAGTGGTGATTCCTATGCCCTAAGACCTCTCTCCTATTTTCACAACTCTACTTAATTTAGCTTGTTTTTATTTGCATATTTTTAAGTTCAATTGTAGTTTAGTCAAACCAATCCTAACCTCTTTTCAATCAATTGATTCACTAATCCAAGTTTAATTCTAAGTACCCTCTTGATCTCTTGGGACAATCCATTCTCACTTCACACTTCAATATGTTTACACAATAATCTATTCTTTTGAAAAAAAAAAAAAAAAAAAAATTTATTAAAAATTAGGTAGAGAACAAAGTCTTCTTTTTGATATATAATATTTATTAATAATAAATAAAAATACATTATCAAATATTTTTAAAATAGTAAGAATGTCGTACATAAATACAATAGCTCAAGTTTAGAATAGAATCAGAAGCATCTATTTTTTTTTTCCTTCTAATTTTCTTTTTATATTCAATAATTTTAAGCAATATTAAATTAAACATCCATTTCCAAATCCCCTTCCCTTGAGTGCCCTCTCGGCGACCTCTGTTCTTCGATTTCTTGTGCCTTCGCCACAGCGGTTATGAAACCTAACCTCTTTTTCTTCTGACTTCACGTTCGCCAATTTGGTTATGAAACTGTGGAGAGAAAAATTCCCCCTCCAATAAATCAGCCACGTCATTTAAATAAGGTATTACTCCATTGGTTCTCCGCTAGCCCATCAAAAACCCAATCTTGATCAAGCCCAAATAAAGTCAATATCGACCCAAGGTCATTAATGTTAACCTCTCGGCCTGCTAAAAGACTCATCCGGCCCACTCACATTGTAATCCAAGTGTGGTTCAGATTATTCAAGTCCTACTTAACAAAGGATCCCTCGTGTAAGGAAACTCTGCATAGGAAAAAGCCCTGCATAGTAAAGAATCCTATATGGAAAGAAGTTCTACATGGAAAGAATTGAAGAAGGAAAGAACCTCATATGTAAGGAATTATATATGGAATAAATTTTATATAGGAATAATGTAGAGGACAAACATAGTGAATCCTACCATAAATAGAGGCATAGACCTTCAATAAAATCTATCAAGCATTACAAGTTTTTCTCTTAATTGTTCTTCTTGTTAATTGTTCTTTTACTTGAGTGAGTTGTATTTATTCTTTTGGCTAAATGAATTTTTGCACCTACAGTGAAGTTAGGCTTTCAGGAGACGGTATGATCATCAAATTGAAGATCAATCTTGAAAAAGATTTAAACAGACAACGAATCCACGGCTTGGAGATAAAATTCAGAAGCAGATTAGGTCTTAAAGATGCTCTTGGCTTCTTCTCTTCCCAGTTCACTACCTTGGCATTCTTTGCCAAAATGGAGAAGATGAACGATGCGGTGACTGAGTAATTGCAAGGTTTCTATGCGCAGAAATCGAAATATTTGGTAACAGGGCAGAAGATGAAGAGTTCAGCTGTAGTTAGAGAGAGAATGAGGGGGAAAGGAGAGAGAACGATATAAACGAGGAAGGGCAGCGCCTTTTTTTAAGTGGAATTTGTTCTCCATTTTTTCGATAAATGAGTTTAGGTGATAAGAAAACACTGAGAACAGCTTTTTTTTGTTCTCCAAAAACTACAATTCTGTTAACTCAGTCCTTTAAAAACTGCTCTTCAAAAACAGTTCCAAGTAGTGTAAAAATGTGTTTTCAGAATTTTGGAACTCCAAAAGGCAGAGCCATAATTGCTTGAAGAACCAAAAAGAGTCAACAAGAACCGATTTGAGACCTAATCAGGCACCTAATGTAAGCTGATTGGGCTCCCTATATGGGCCTACTGTACGTTTGTTCATATTTATACATTTGTTAAAAGTTTCAAAAACTAAAAAAATAATAATAATAATAATGGAAATTTGGATAACTCTTTCTCATTCAGGTTCTTTTGCCTTGAATTAACGACTTTTTAACATCCAAGAAATTTATAATAGCAAAAACAGAAACAAACGATTTTGCAAACCGGATAATTGATTAATGGAGAACTGGATACAAGATACGGCCGGGGATTACAGTAATTGCTGAAAATAAATCTCACACTAGAAAGCAAGTAAAAGTACAAGAAATGAAAAAACGAAATGCTGAAAATCAATCTCACACTAGAAAGCAAATAAAGTACATTAAATGAAAACAAAGCTGTAATGTGGGGATGTGTGGAGAGACTTCGATCTTCATTCTTTAATTCCTTCATATGTAGTAGTCCTCCAACAGCACTTCTCTTGCAACTGATCATGTCATGCATCGAGAAATTTTCACTTATCCCATGTTTTTCTTTCACCAAGCTTTCTAATCTTCACCGACTATAGAACCTGAAATTGGAAAATCTTAATTATAGATAATATTTTCCTGTAAATAAGATATCCATAGCCGCAAAAGAAGGCAACCACTATTGCAAAGCCGATAAGGATGGCTACTCCGTTAACAAAATAGCGGATAGTTTCGCGCCCTCCCCAAAGAAAAAAGTCGATGGTGTTGCGTGTAAACCTCCTTACGTCATTTTTAAACTTAACAGCTACCGCAAGGTATGCTTCTATGAACCAACTTAAAGCATTTACAAGAAAGAGGCAACAAATGACGATTACGCTGATAGCGAGCACCAATGAATCTCCCAACACAACATAAAGGCCGGTCATAAATGCGACCACCATTGCTCCAATAGCACATATAATGGTTGCAAGTGCATTGCTATAGCCCTTACCACGCTTATCTTCATCTTCATAAGTGGAAGCAGATATGTGGGTAATTACAGCTTTAATGGACAAGATCATGGCAATAGTATCCGCCACAACAAATACTTTGAAAGCTGTTTTTCTTATTAAAACTGCCATACCTTGATTTGCCCCATCATTGCCATCATAGCCACCGGGTAGGGCAAAACCAGCTGCAAAGGTTGCGGCTGCTATAAGTCCAGCTACTACCAAATTGTTGTCCGAAATTTTGCTAATAAACTTTCTCAATGGTATTAGGGTCGTCGTTTCTTCTGCGTAGTTTGAATTTGTCTCGGCAACATACCTCTGGTACCTGCGTTTTTCTTCTTTGATCAATTTGAAAACAGCAGTACTGAATAGAAAAATTTGCTAGTCATCCATGTCATGAAAATTTGAGCAAGTGCATTAATGTAACTCAATACAAAGGCAATTTTACATGTAAATTCACACCTTATATATATATCAAGATTAATGCATTAATGTCACAACACTCAGTGATAACCATTAAAATATACCATGCTATGGATCATGACTCTTCTTTTTTCTTTTCTTTTTGAAATGAAAAATACAATTTTCCACTTGGAACCAAATATTGTCCATAAAAGATTTTAATAAATCTCAATAAATTGATCAAAGCAACCACTGAACTGCATTTCTAATTGAAGATCGAACAAATGGTCATGATTTTCAGTTAAAAAAAAAAAAAAAAAAGTATAAGGTCTGTCTTTGGTTGAGATTTTTGTGTTTGAAAGTAAGCCAGAGAATGAAGCTTAATCTGGGATAGCACAGGGAAACAATAGGAGGCCGGTGAGCCCGGGGAGAGGGGGATAAGAACTGAAATGTAACCAAGCATAATGAGTAGAGAAAAATGATATCAATACTACCTACGTTTTCCCCTATATATTAGAACTTCTCTATTTGAGGGAGAAGTTCATCACACACAACTAATCCAATTGCAAAACAAAACTAAAAAAATACCGGAAGAAAAAACATCCACAAACTGTTTAGTGTTAACCCACAGGAACCTCCTACAGGCTGCACAGCCCTGAGATGATTGTTAATCATTTTTAGAAAATATAATTCCTAATATCTAAGCAATTAGACAAGGTAGCATATTTAGCATGTATTCACGTAAAGAAATTTTTTTCATATTATAGACAAGGTACCATCCTTACCTGGTCTGGATACATGTCACCATATACTACTTCCAGTGCAGTCAAATTTTTCTGGTTGTAGGCCGCTCTAGAGTTATCTTTGAGATGGTACTTGTGATTAGCGGATTGAGCACAAAGCAAATGAAGAGGTGTGTTTCCACCATTGTCTTTCTGATTTATGAGGCTGTTGGAAAAGGGATTTGCTAAGATATGTTCGATTACCTTCTTTTGCTCATGCTCCACTGCAATGTGAAGGATATTTTGGCCTCTACTGTTGGTCATTTCATAGCAATCTGGACAACGAGTATATAGTTCGTTCATGACACGTACATGACCCTGACTAGCTGCTATATGAAGAGCCGTCTTGTTGTCATCCTTGTCTGCAACAATGTATGCCACGGATTTATCCAAGTCAAGTAGTTGTTTAGCTGCCAATAAATTGCCATGCCATGCAGCATAGTGGAGTGGTCTCCATCCATATACATTTGCTTCCTTGACTAGTGATGAGTTCCAGGTGTGTAAACTTTTTATGCATTCTGAAAGAGAACAATATATTAGAGACTCATACTAACAAGTAAATATAAACATTACTATGTAAGAGTAAAAGTAAAACATTTTTGAAATTGCTTGACCCTTACTAAATCATAATAATTTGGATTTTTTTTAGTAATTTTATTTATATTTAGTTATTATTTTTATGCTGTCATTAGCAGATGTGAATAGCTACTGCAAATTAAAAACTGGTACTATCGCACAAAATTAATCTAAATTTTTATTTCTTTTCTGCAGACTAGCAAAACAGATGAAGAAATTAAATACTGAGTATTTAGTTAAAGTAAGTACCTTGGTCATAAAAAATTGTTGCGGCGTGTAAAGCTGTTCGTCCATTTGGGCCAATGTAAGCTGGTGAAATGCAATTTTCCAAAATTTTAGACACAATAGCTCGATTACGTCTCTCGGCAGTTAGGTAAAGTGGAGTCTGCTCGGCATTATTGGGTGGATGTACAAATTCTGGATCTTCTTTGGTCAAAATATCAACCACATCAAGATGATTATTTCGGACAGCCTCGTACAAGGCGGTCTCACCCTCCACATTTCTCATCCTCATCATCTCCTTGGCACCTTTAGTCTCACTTTCGAGGTCCTCGCCCACTGCTTCGGCATAGTGAATGAGCGCTAGTACTGTGTCGGTGTGACCTTCCCTTGCTGAAATGTGGAGTGCAGTCTCACATGTGACATTCAGTACAAAAAGCAATGACCGGCCGCACTCCTTCAGGATACTTTTCACACCCTCTGTTTTGCCAAACTGAGCTGCAACATGGAGGATTGTGTTGTTGTTAGGGGTCCGTTGGACTTGAAGTTGATCAGCATTTTTCCGAAGGACCCAACAATCTCCTTCCATTGCAGCCTTATATAAGATTGTATCCATGATGCTTGTCATTGCGACTAGTTATTTGTGACTGGTTTCTTCTGCTTGGAATTATAGCTTCCTAAAGCTGCTTAATTTGTCCATTTAAACACTTGCTCGGTTGACTTCACTTGGTCATCGTTGTTTTTACAACTTCTTGTACTTAAATATATATATATAACTTGTTGAATAAATGTATTCTAAAATTAATAAAGATTAGTAACTTACTATTATGGATTAGTTGAATTGATTCGCAAAGTTAATATAAGGGTTAAAAGGCTAGCCAATAAATATAATATACATGATCGAAAGATATTGCTGTTATTCACGTGATTGTATTTCAAAGAAAATTAAGTGGCTGTTGTTTAAGTATTAAGCCTCAAGGAATCATATAATGTAATATAACATAATATAATAGCTTAAGTACAATGGAGCACATGAATAGATCCGTGAAAATGTGCATTTATAAAAAGACTTCTACCTGGAAATTATTTTAAAAAGACTTGGTTCAAATTGCAACGACTTGAGGGGCTGCCATGTGGTTGTTATAACTTATATTTAGCGTAATTACTTTTTAATTAAAGCCACATTAAATGGGCCAGTAGGAGTATTGACTTTATCCACTGTATAATGGAATATAAAAACAGATGTGTAATATAAATATGGATTAAAACAACATAAAAAAAATTTAAAATTTTTTTAAAAAAAGCCGGTCCAGTTGTCCGCTTGCTGAAAAAGCGTGCACTTTGCTGGTTTTTTTAAGAGTTAATTTATTGACACCATTTAGGTTGGCCAAATACCATTCTTAAATATCTTTTTAAAATTATTATTTAGATTCATTTATATTTTTCAGTTAAAATCTCCATTAAAAATATGAAAAAGATAACTTTGCCCCAAATTTTATAATCGTATTTATTTCAAAATATCATGTTACTTAAATGTCATTATAGCCTCGGGTAGGTGTATATATATATATATGTAACAATGGCAACCTAGGGCGACATCATTTAGGCACATAGGTGATGACGGCGAAGGTTGGGCACTGCAGCGATAGCGTTGATCATTTTTGATAAACTAATAAATTGGCGGTGATGGCCGGGGTGGTGGTGGATATTCATAGTCTCTGTGGACGGGGTGGTTTAGTGGGAGGGAAGATGTCGAACTAAAGATTGCTGGTCGAGTCGACGACGACATCCGAGGTCTTGACGCCTTTGATGGGATTGGAATTGGGTGGAGCTCTGACGTGGAGGAAGCGATCCACCAACCATCACCGTCCTCCGCGTTGGGTAGAGCTCTGACATTGCAAGCGGCGCAATTTCAGTGCGTTGAGGGTGCCCTCTGGGCCAACCGACATGGACTCTCTACAGCCGTACACAGCATGGCCGCCAAGTTCGACGGCCTGGTTCTTTAGGCGCCCATGTACCCGGGTTTCCTCGACAACGCACTAGCTCCATTTGGGCTTCACATATTGGGTCAGGACGAGTTACTGAGCGAGTCGTAACTCAATAGCAGCTCAATCTCCTCTTTTGCTCCTCTTCCTCTTGATCCTCAAACTCCATTAACACATCTTTCACTAATACAACAATTAATTATATATAATCAATATAAAGAGAGAGCGCGTGCTAACTATAAGACAAATATATTGTCAGTTTTGGTGTAATTTGATTTGGGGGAGTTATAATAATAATTAAAAATAATTAAACTCAAATTCAATCGATTACGTACAATTAAAAATAAATTACATATGGCTTAGAATTAAAACAAGTTTAATAAGAGTTTCAAAATTAATATATAAACATGGGCAAATCCAAATTAGAGTAAGAAACTAATTATGTGAGTGTGTGACTATATATAGCAAGAACCCATAATGGGTTTAAAAAAAAATGGCTATTCTAAAACTAATTATATGTATGTCCATATCTAAAATTAATTATGTATATGTGTGTGCGTGTGTGTATATATATATATATATATTGTCATGTTTCTATTTTTTCATTTTTTGGGATTTTTTTATTTTTCTGGATTTTTTTTGTTTAAGCTAGCCTCGTTTTGTGTGCCAGACACTGTGGGGTGTGCCGGGTGAGTTCCGAGAGTTGATAGTATTATTGGCCATTTTGGGATTTTGCAGTTGACAGAAATCACTCCTAAAGTATACTTTTTGTAGCACTTTTACCCCCTATTGAAAACGTGTGCAATAAACACTCCTAATCTTTTTGATATTGTGCAAAATTACCCCTCTGTCAAAAATCTGACATAAATTAGTGTTGTAATACCCATTTTACCATTTTATTCTTCCCAAAATGCCTCTGTAATCATCCTTTTCACTACAATCATCCTTTGCCGTCTCGCCATCTTCACCATTGATCTGTTTGCCTCAAACTTGACCATGAGAACCACATGCATAAAGACCAAGGAAAGGAGAAAGCAGTAGAGAAAAACCCAGAGCAACAAAGGCCTTTCTGAAGGCTCTCAAGAAGCTAAAGTAAAGAAAGACTCAGAACAATCAACGACGTTGGCCTCAGAATACCGCCATAGAGGATGGTCTCCACCTGTGCTGCTCACTAGATTCACCATCGGCATCGTGGCTCGACGTCGTCTGGAGGAAGAGTAAGGGCGGTCCGAGGAATCGACGGTGCTATTCGCATCACGACCGCCGCCATCGCCACATCTTCCTCTTCCTCACCCGCATCCGAACTCTCACCGGAGAGAAATTTCCCGATGACTGGTGGTCGAGGATGGTGGAGTTGTGGTAATTATTGACTAATTTTTGGGTCGTGGCATTAATTGATTTATGTGCTGGGTTGTGGAGAGAAGATGGGGGTAGTTGTTGAAGATGAATTATAGAGAGAGAAATGATAGAATCATTAAAACAAAAACAAAAAACAAATCTCATAGTGGGTCTTTGTGGTTGGGTGAGGATGTAAATTGGTTGTGGAAGACTCCCACCCAAGTCAAAGACAATAAGTAAAGGCAAAGAAGAACTAAGTCTTATGTGGGGAGCAAGAAAAGGAGGCGACAGTAGAGTCGAAGAGATGAGAAAGGAAAAAGTGTCCTTTTTGGTGTTTTCACAAAAAAAAAATTATTTTCATGTATTTTATAAATTTATTCAATAAGGGTAATTTGGTCAATTTAAATTTTAAATGTGCCAAAAGGACCTAATTGCACCAAATTGAAACTTGAGAGTTATTTTTTGCACATGAGGGGTGTGATGTGCACTATAAGCATATTTCAAAGGTGTTTTCCACACTTGACTCTTATTTTTTATCTACCGATCAATACTTAGTTGTGCACATGGTTGTTAAAATCGCGATTCTGACTCGTAGAATCATGCGATTTTGCAATCCAACATGCCCAAATCGCAGAAAAATCGTGGCTTGTGCAGAATCGTGAGTTGAATCGCCGGGATCGTACATAGAATCGTGGAATCATACGATTCTATACGATCCCAACGATTCTGAATTATCCATGATTGTGGTCTTGTTTTGGGTTTAAGAATTGTGAAGAAACCCTAAATCTATTACCACAGTGCAACAATTCCTTCTCTTTCGAGGCCTCTAGCACAGCTCCGAGAAAAGATGAGATGCAAAAGGCAAAAAGAATGCTAGGGTTTTGGTGAAGAATAAGCAGAGAAGGAGGAAAGAGTAAACAAGAGGCTAAGAGAGCTTACCTAAAAAAGACGAGAGGAACTGCCGCTGCTGCCGGGGAATTGCAACAGGGGAATTTTGCTCTCTTTGTCTGCCACTGGGGAAATTTCGCTCTCTTCAGATGGTGGCAAGTTGTTGACCTAGGTTAGACTTGCCTAAAAAAGATTGGTCTTGGGCCTTTTACTTTTCTTGTGCTGTATTTGTTCTATTGTACAGCTGGGCCAAATGGGCATTGCAAACTTTAAGTTTTTGAAGCCCAATGTAATATTTACATTTATATAAAATTTGTTCTTTCATTCCAAAAATTAAATAAATAAATTAAATTTTAAAAGAATCTATTGTAAATTTTAAAAGAATCTGTTTATAATTTTATATGAACTTATATATATATATATATATATATATATATATATATATATATTTGTGTTTTTTACTATTTTTTATTTATTTTGAGGATAATTTTTGTTGAGAAAGTTAGTTTGAATTGTATTTTTATTAATTTGGTAAAATCTTATACGATCCGATTCTACGAAATCCAAAACGATTCTAGATAGAATCCCAATTTTAACAACCTTGGTTGTGCATGCTAGTATCACTGTTCTGCCAATGATCAATACCAGTTGCGCATGTTAGTATCACTATTTTGCCAATTAGTACTAGAGCACGGCAGTTTTTATAGTAGTATCATTCCTTTATATGGAAATCTAGAGAGCTTACTACAAGAAAATAGGACAACAATGGCAGATTACTAGCAAGAGTAAAAAAAACAAAAAAAAAAAAAAAAAACAAAAAAAACAAAAAAAAAACAAAAAAAAAAAACAAAACCGCCTTAATAAACTACTCAAGAAAGTGTTTCTACAGGTCTGCCCTAAGAAGGGACTTAGTGACTTTCAGCTATATTAGGCATTATATATATATATATTTTCTACATTTTTTTTATTATATGTTTTTGTCTACACGCCATTGATTTCGGCACTGAAACTCCTACACTGAAGCTCCTATACAAAACTTTAAGAGGTGGCCAGACTGATTTAGTAGGAAACACTTCCAGTCGTTGCCATGTCCATGGCAGATGCTCGTGCTTTGCTTATGGCAGATTTGTTGCTTGTATGCTTTCTTTGTTTTGGTTAATTTAGCATTCTGATGATGTATGCAGTTCTGGCTCTTGTCTGAAGCTTTGTTAGCTTGGGTAGACCCTAATTGATATAGTACCGTATTGATCAAAATAAATAGTTAGGTTGTTTAGTTTATTTTTTTATTTTTTATTTTTTGGGTTTTTATTCAGGTTGCTGCACATAGAGAAGGGTGATATTTATTCAAATTTCAGGTTATGTTCTTAGTCCAGATGATGCTCGTGATGTCTAGATCATGTGTTATTCATATTCTTACTCCTTCCTTCCATTTAGTTGCTTTTAGAGAAAGGAAGACAATTTATTCAACTTATGCACTTATATATATATATATATAATTTATTTATTTTGATTAATTACCCACTGCTTAATAAATTGAATGATAAAATTGTTGTTAGTTTTGATTTGTTTTCATTCTATTTTCAGGTTGTACGGAGAGAATAACATGCTGAATGTCTAAGTAGAAGCTTATGATCTTTGTCTATTTTCTTGTAATTTTGATATATACATAATAAAGATATAAGTAAGTTGAAATACTTGCTAACATTGAGAACATTTGCTTTCTTTTTCCTTTTATTTTTTATTTTTTATTTTATGTTAATTTGCATGTTTATCTACCACACTCTTTCATTGAAGCTTCCACACTGATATTTAGGTTAGAGGCCAGAAAGCAAGAATATGGAAACGAGTATACCACGATACTATATGGCATGAATACATCAAAAATTATTATATATAAAGATAATAAATTTTGCTTATAAATTTTTTATTTATAATTATGAATGAAATCACCAATTTTAAAAATTAGAGTAAGATGATTGTGCATTTTGTTACACTTAATTATAATATATATATATATATATATATATCTATAGAGAGAGAGAGAGAGAGAGAGAGAGAGAGAGTCATTTCATTGTTAAATATTTTTTTTCTTCGAATGTATTCAATATAGTCATTTCATAATTAATTGCTAATTAAAATAATATTAATTTTCTAAAATAATTATTTTCTCCAGTAGCTGTTGGATTAGATCCTAAGGTTATGAATAAAATCTCTAAGACTGTGAACAAAAGTGAGTATATTGCTTCCTGGAAACAAATTAAACACTACTATATATATATATATATATATATATATATATAAAAGAAGTAGTTACAAGGTCTGGGCCTGAAGAGGCCCAAAAAGCTCAAACAATGAGCTAAGAAAGAAGATAGGGAGAGCAAGTTGACCAAAATAAAAGGCCCAACAACATGACCAAACGGGCCTATACAAGTAACACCTTGCTATCAGTAACACCCATCTCTGTATCCAGATATGACGTTATTTTTGTATTCTAAAATTCCATGTTATTTTTTTAATTAACTCATAATTATTTTAAATTGCATTAAATTTCATTCTTCTAAGAAAATAATTACGAAACATCTCCCTATTCAGAAACTGTCCTAAATGTGTTCTTGCTATGTTAATATATATATATATATATATGAAATAATGTTATTAAAAGAGTGCCCTTTTAGTACACTGTCGAGCTCTCCTGTTTTAGTCATTAAATTAAGAATTTTTAAAGATCATAAATAAAAAATAAAATAAAATGTCGTTAATTTCTTATGAGGTAAGTATTATGTTTTATAAAATAAAAATAAAAAGAGAAACCAACGCGCAATAAGGCGCTTTCCTTCTGAGTCTTTTTTTTTCTTTTTTTTTTTGCAATAAGAAGAACAGCCATACGGCATCTATAAAGAACAGCACAAATAACCGTACAAAGACAAACAAATCATGAACCAATAGAAGAAAAATTAAAGAACGAACTCCAGATTTGCTGAGAAACAACACAACAATGGAAATCTCCAAGAGAGGCAAGCAGCAACGAGAGTGACCCACAAGTCAGGCCATCGTCAAGATAACTGTTCCAAGGTTGCATCCACAAGGCGCCGCTGACGGGAAACCCCCAACCCCGCACAAGAGGTTTGGACAATAAAACCCACACAGAGGCGGGGACCACAAAACTCACACATGGATTGAAGATCTAATCGGAGACAAAAGGCAGATATATCCTGTCAAGTCAAAAACAAACCTAACAGAAGCAAATCTAACAAAATAATAACAAAACGGTATGAAAACTTACTCATTAAATGACTAATTACAACACGTCAAATTTATTAAGTGGTGGGATGCAAAAATCGACATCTCCCCACCCCCATGTGGGGGGAGGGAGCAAACAGAGGGAGGGAACTGAGGAGCCACTGAGGTTAGAGAGAAAAAGTAGAGAGAGTGATTTGATTCCGAGTCTTTTTGTTGACTTTCCACCTTTCTTAAAAAAGAGACTCCCGATTAATCAAGAAATGCATCCGCAGATTCCTATTCCCAATCTGAAACAAAAAAATAAAAATGATAGGAAAAAAAATTGGGATAGTATGAAAGCCTAATAATATCACTACTCTGATAAAAAATAAAAAATAAATAAAAAAATTAACAAATAGAATAAGAGGATAACTGTTTGGATTAAAATAAAAAGATGACACATTATTGAAAGGCCGGGATTATAAGGAAGATAATAAAAAATTTGTCATTTTTTTTTTCACACAAAGAATAAAAAATTTGTATCTTGATCACCTATATATATATATATATATATATATATATATATATATATATATATAATGTTTAGTTTTGGTATTTACGCACTTTCTTTCGAGATAGTTGATCTAAAAAATTGGAGTCTTTCATTGATGATGATATGATTGTGCAAGAACTTGCTATGCACATATATTTTTATTTTTATTTTTTTGTTCCTGCACATGGAGATGGTATAGGAAGGAGAGAGTATATCTTTATCTTTCCTTTTTTTTCTTTTTTTCTTTTTTTTTTTTTTAATAAAGAACGTAATGCTTAAGTTTATAACTTTAACATGTTTTTAAACTTTTCTAATCAAACATGACACTAATAACATTACTCATACATATATATGTATATATATTCAAATTTTACAACACTTCTTAAACATGTGTCACAATGGTGTCTCATCATGCCTATGATACCGCCACCACAATATTCTTAAAAAAAGCGTCCGTGTATTTTAGAGGTCAACTAAAAACCATGTACTTTACAAATACAAAAGTTGTGTATTACTAAGCTTATTGGCGCACAAATTTTCCACCCTGAAATTCTATGGCTTAAACCCCTCAGATTTTCATGGCACATACCTCATTCACTAAAAAAGCCCCTGTTGCGAAATTCTTAAATAAAAATTATTTTATAATTCTTTGCAGTATGTTTCTAAAATTAAAATTACAGTGATTATAAATACGTATTGAATTTATGTCTTGTGATTATCTTCTTCTATTTGATTTCTATTGCACCATCATTTTTACCGAACTGACATCTCGTCGCTGGTGGTGGTGTTCAATTTGTCAAAGTTCACATATTCAGATCTTTCTCGATGGCTTAGGGCCCACCCAGGTTGTCATCTCTGCTCCAGAATTTGAAGTTACCGCTGGCGCAGTGATAACCTTATAGTAGTGGAGACCTTCATCCTTATCAAGTGGGCTATAGGACTTTTCGTGGCCCATTTGCTACTGTGGATCTAAATAGTCGATTGCGGTGTAACGAATTTAAACAAAATCAATATATTGCGTATCGAATTTTAAAGAAAGTCGCATTACGTATGGAACTTTAAAAAAAAAAAGTCGCATTAAAAGTCGCGCATCGCTTTGTCTGAATTTTTGTCATGAAAATTTTGTTGCGCACGGTGTCAGTGTGTCTAAGCTTTTGTGCATGACTCTTCGGTTTGATATGGTTCTGGTTTGCATCTGGGTTACTTTAGTCCTTGTTCTCGGTTACTGTAAGAATTTCTGATGTATCTATGTAATGGTCTTTTGTTTGCGAGAAAATAAATAAAAATAAAACTCATGTTTGCTGAATGTATAGTAATTGCTAACATATATATGAGATTACATAAACCACACAATCCCACCCAATGTATACATGATTATCCTATTCCATCCAATCCAATCCAATTCAATTCTGAACCAAACATGAAGCACCCTTACAAAAAAAAAAAAAAAAAAAACTGTAACATTCTTGTATTATTTATATACAATCCCAACATGGTTATGATAACTTGCTTCATCTAGAATCAAAACCGGAACATGCCAGCATAAGAGGCCATGAGGGGCATGGACTGGCAAGAGACCTGCAGTGGCTTAAGCAGTGGATCATCTTGACAGATGGCCATGGAACAGCCGCTCGTGCTCGTGCTCGTGCTCGTGCTTGTGCCGCGCATATAGCTCAGAACAATCTCCAGAGACTCCAACCTATTCTTCAGGTCGGCCAATTGAGCTCTCAGAACCATGTTCTCAGACTCTACACCTGACCATAGTTGCCTAACACTGTTCATTTCCTGAACAATCACATTGTTGCTGCTCTTCAAGTAGCTGACTTGGTTATTGAGCTCTTTAATGTGCTGCTCTTTCCTCATCCGAGACCTCCTTGCCGATTCTCGATTCGACATCATCCTCTTCCTCTTCCTTTCATCCATTTTTGCATATCGCTCGTCCCCTTCTGAACCGGAGCTGGTAATAATTAGTACTTTCCCAGGCAACATTTTATTTCAATCTGCTTTCAAAATTGTATGTACAAATATAAAAAAAAAAAATTGTTTTGACCGTTTATATCAAGCAAACACTTATTATGAGGTTAGAGATCAACAGATTATCGAGAAAACATAGAACCAATAGAGAAAAACAACAGAAAACGATTGGAGAAGTCGAATTCGACGAAGGAGGGATATGAAACTCATAGATTAGAGATGGGTTTTTGCTACAAATAATTCTAAGATCATAGAGAACATGATCACAAGAACAATAGAGAAAATTTCAATAGACTGTCAATTCTACAAGAAAGGTAAGTAGGGTTGGTAAAGGGTTATGAGAGTTATCCAAATGGGGCATTATTTATAGGACTTGAGGATCGGGATGAGATTGAGTATATAAAATATATATATATATATATATATATATATATAGGGAAATTGAGGATGAGAAAGTATTGTAAGGAATCTTACTAGTGAAAGTCTATGGGTACATTGTCGATTGCTAAGACTCTGCATAAAATAATACAATTTTATTATCATTGTTTTTTTCCTTAAAGAGTCGTACATGTTTGGATAACTATAAATGTCTAGATGCATAAATTCACTACTATTTGTCTGCTCCGTCATTGGACAACTGTTAGCAACAAATTGCTTATGCAGTTGCCATATATAGGATGACGGTACATGAACCTGTTATTAACTTATTATGAACATGTGTTAAAAAAAAAAAAAAAACAAAAACAAAAAAAAAAACCAAACAAAACAAAACTTATTATGAACATACAAACACATTATGATAGCAAAATTCACAACCGAAATGTTATATTTACATACATTTGGGTTATATTTATATTTATATTTATATTTATATTTATATTGTAGAAGGGACATACATTTAGACTATTGAGGTCACGAATTTATTTTACCTGATAAACACATGCCAAAATGTATTGGTACACCTTTTAAGGCTGTGTACATTTCATCCTCTTCAAATTCTTTTATTGGACCAACTCTTTTTTAGTAACGTATATATAAATTCTAAATTTCTCTCTTCATGAAAAAAAGCTCAATAATTATATTTTCTTATTAAAATTATGAATAATAATATAATTTAAGCACCAAATAAAGTAGGACCATTGGGTTGAGTTGTCTTATATATGATAATTATGAACCTTTTATTGAGAAGAGACCATAATGTAACAGTATATTTTTTAACATTGTGTACATTTGACCATCTCTAAACTCTGTTGTTAAATCAGGTTTTTTTTTTTCAACGATGTGGGTTGAAACGTAGATAATTTGAGTTAAGTTTATGACTCTCCGTCACATGATATGAAATGAGTTGTAGATAACTTGGATTTGAGTTTTAGGGCCTCCGCCCATGATATGGGAATGATTTGGGCTTAAATGAGCCTTATGTAGTTCGAGTTGAGTTTAAGGACCTCCGCTCCTGATGTAGGACACTTTACGTGTTTAGTAATTTTTATTATTTAAATTTCTTATTTATTTATTTTTATATTTTTTTATAAGAAGTTTAGTTTTATTTAATTTCTTTGAGAAATTATTTTCGTTTTGCTATTAGGATTCTTTATGTTTTTAGTTTCCTTCTAGGGTTAGGTTTTCATTTATTCTAAATATATGTATTGCAAATAGCATAATTAGAACTTTTATTCAATCAATTATCAATACAATATAAGATTTCTCTTAACTTTATCTCTCGTTTTGTGGACTCAAAACACCTTACTTCAAAGTAACTCGTTCTTTGTGAACAAATTTATCGCTTCTGCTTACGTCAGTTAGTATCAGAACCTTATCTTTTCCTGGTCTAATGCAAATGAACGTGGTGACGGCAACCTCGCTGGTGACGAAGTTCAATAGAAAGGTTTTTTCTAAAGCCAAATTTCAAGGCTGTCAATGTGAAACATAGCAAACGTTGCAAGATATTCAAGCAATGCTTACTAGGCTAAAGTTGGGTTTATAGCAGAATCGCGATAACAACAGGTTGCGCAACGACATAAATCATGTTCTTCCTGTTCATAATCGCAACCCCTTCCCTCTGCATAGTCAGTCAGTCTATGAGGAAAAGGTGTTTGGGGGGTCATAGAGATGCATGAAGATATCATGATTATAGGGATTATAATTCTAGGAATTTTCCTCCTAGTAGTTCCAATGGTCTCTTTCATGTTGAAGATTTTCTAGATTGGTTATGAGATTTTGAGGAGTTCTTTGATTACAAGGAAATTCCAGAGGATAGGAAGGTGGCACTCGTTGCAAACAAATTGAAGGGAAAAGCTTTTATTTGGTGGGATCAATTACGGGTTACTCATGCACGATAAAGAAAAGCATCGATAAGATCTTGGTTGAATATGAAATGACTTTTGAAAGCCAAGTTTCTTCCACCTTACTATGAAGAGTATGAGAAGAACCAATTGCAGCCGTATCAGAATTATCGGCTGTGATATATGTTTGGCTCACTAAATTTTCCAGATGAAAGATTGGTGTGCGGGGCGTGCCAGGAATCACAGAAAATTCCAAGAGAACGAGCCGAACAATATTCCAGAATATTGTCAGATAATTAGTATTCAGCCGATTGTGAGAGAGCCTGGAATGACCTCTCTCAAGAGTTCTTTTTTACCTTTGGAACAAAGGACTACGGGTTATATGGCTGAAAATAAATAATTAACCAACTAAAAGTGCCGAAATGGAAAATGAAATTGGGAAAGTAATTTATTAAGCTATAGAAATAAAATTACAAGTGTTGAAATTAATCTGCTGAAAGACAATTGTAGAGAAAAGATAAAGTAAACAAGTGATGTTTTAAGGGGTTATGGAATGGGTTGTAAGATGTCCTAAACTTCTATATTTATAGAAGTCTTTGAGTGATGGTTAAGTTTCTCTTTAAATCTTCCCCAAGTATTTCTTTGTTGTGCCAATAAAGCATAATCCTTCTTTCTCTTAACGTATTCCCCAAGTTCAGGCCATATTGTATACTGCTAAAAATCTTTTCCTATTCTTATGTTATTATGTTTGAATCATGCCAAAATTCCATCCAGATTCATTCACAACCACTTGCTTGAATATAGGAAACTCTCTAAACCTTATCTCTAACCAAGTGTTATCATCTTGCTTCATTTTTCTAATCACGCTCCTTTAGATTAATTTTAATTAATCCCCATCACTTCTAATATGCTACCATGTGGCGACTTAATTCCCATGGACTGCTATAATCTTAGCACATAATTCCCCTATAAATATCTTCACACACAATTCTTCTTCCTCCATAATTTCATTAATCACTTGCCACTTGAAAAAAAATTGTAGCAATTTCTCTTTCTGGGAGCTTACACCATAAATTATTTATTTCCTTCATAGTTAGACACATGTCACCCTTTCACTGATTATTAGCATATTAATTATGCTAATACTAAGTGTCAATCTCTTGTCGGCCATTTGCTGTAAAATACGGTGTAAACATTGCCCCCCAAATTTTGAACCCTTTGAACTTACTGATAAGGGATCAAAATTATGGGAGTATGATAATTCCGAACATGCACACCAAAAATTTCAAAGAGTTCCAGATATCACATAAATCTCCTTGGCAAAACTTTTCAACGCAGTTCTTTGTTGGTGGGTCCTAGTCACATTGTTCCTAATCTTACTAGAAGATTTTTTTTTTTCTTCAGTCAAAACTTCTCCAATTGTCCATGTAAAGCTAACAACCACTCACTCTTTTCAAAGCTCTCAAACATCATCTACTTCAAACAACTTTTAAAATTTTAAAATCCCATAGTTATCTCTAAAAGGATGGCTTGGTAGGTAGAAACCATCATGATCATTAATACCTTTATATATACACCACTCACACTTTCAAAGCTCTCAAACTCTTCCCCTTCTTTGTTCTGCAAGGAAAATCTTTTTTCATGGCTCCCCAACAACTAAAAGGGTGACTAGATCCTTAATTAGTGCTTCAGAAGAACTAAAATCTCATGCCCGCCAAACTCACAAGTGTATGAAATCTCTCAAATTTCATCAAGATCCTCTTATTTTCCTTAGTCCATAAACTATGAGATTAGGCCTAGCTTTTATAGATCAATTTCCAAAAAAACTTGATGATTTCTATCCAATGGCAAAAAAATGTCTTCCCTACTCCATGGACTTCACACCTCCTTCATCTAAATCTAGCAAAAGATCACCAAAAACGAAATTCAAACTCCAAAATTGGTATGTCCCTAAGAAGTATCCCTTATATTTTGTTCTAACAACATCCAACTCCAGAAGCCGATTGAAAAATAAAAAGAAATGCAATCGATTATGTACTTATGGATGGAGATCTTTATAGGAGATCGGCTGATGATGGTTTGCTATTTCAATGCATTAACAAGTTTGAAGGTTTAAATATTATGGCAGAGGTACATGAAGGAATATGTGGAGCTCACCAAGTTGGTATAAAAATGAGATGGTTGATGCACCGATATGGATATTATTGGCCTGGAATAAGAAAATATTGTATGACTTATGCAAAGGGTTGTACAGATTGTCAGAAGCATGGCCCAATGCAATGGGTTCCAGCAATAGAAATGCAATTATTAGTTAAACTATGGCCTTTCAGAGGTTAGGCCATGGACTTAATCGACAAGATTAATCCTCCTTCATCAAAGGGTGATCATTGGATTATTTTACCTACCGATTACTTTACCAAATGGGTAGAAGCCGAGGAATATGTCTCAGTAACTCATAATACTGTGATACAATTTTTGGAACGACATATCTTTCACCGATTTGGTTTACTAGAAACAATTGTTACCGATAAAGGATTTGTGTTTCGAGCAGGAGAAGTGTTACAACTCGGCCGTGATATGCAAGTAAAAATGATGACTTCAACACCCTACTATGCTCAAGGCAATGGTCAAGCAGAAGCTTCAAATAAAGTTGTGATTGAACTTATTGAGAAAATGATAAAGGTAAGCCAAGACGTTGGCATGAAACCCTTCTAGAAACCTTGTGGGCTTATAGGAACTAAAAGCGAACAAGTACTGGAACTACTCCATATCGGCTAACATTTGGTCATGATGTTGTGTTGCCCATAGAGTTAAATGTGAAGTCAACAAGGATAATTTTGCAACATAATCTAATACCTGTCGATTACAATGAAGTTATGCTTGCCAAGTTAAAAGACTTGGATGAGGTTCAGAAACTTGCTTTAGACCACCTTATGGTCCATAAGGCAAAAGTAATGAAGGCTTACAATAAAAGGGTTAAGTTTAAGTCATTTGCGGATGGTGATATGGTTTGACAAACAATTCTTCCACCTGGAAAGGTAGATAGAACTTATGGAAAATGGTCACCTATATGGAATGGACCATTTGTGGTTCACCAAGTGTTGTATGGAGGAGCTTACAAATTGAAGGATCTAGATGGTGAAATTCATGAGAGACTAATAAATGGAAGGTACTTGAAGAAATATAATCCAACTATTTTTGAACTTATGGAGGAAAAGAAAACCTCTACTAAATAAAAATAGCTTGGATTACGTTTATTTGATTTTATGTAAGTTGTTTTAGTACCATAAGTGCTTATTTAAATAAAGATGTTATCAAATTAAGTCAAACACAGTCATAGCAAGTTGTTCAAAAACCATATTACAGACCACTGATAGCAAATTGTTCATAAGACCATAAAATGTTCAAGGTTGTTTGAAATTCTAATGAAACCCTTCAAATTTGGTTTTGAGACTTGCCCAT